AGTAGTAGTAGTAGTAGTAGTAGTAGTAGTTGTAGTAGTAGTAGTAGTAGTAGTAGTAGTAGTAGTAGTAGTAGTAGTAATAGTAGTGATAGTAGTGATAGTAGTGATAGTAGTGATAGTAGTAGTAGTGATAGTAGTAGTAGTAGTAGTAGTAGTAGTAGTAGTAGTAGTAGTAGTAGTAGTAGTAGTAGTAGTAGTAGTAGTAGTAGTAGTAGTAGTAGTAGTAGTAGTAGTTGTAGTAGTAGTAGTAGTAGTAGTAGTAGTAGTAGTAGTAGTAGTAGTAGTAGTAGTAGTAGTAGTAGTAGTAGTAGTAGTAGTAGTAGTAGTAGTAGTGATAGTAGTGATAGTAGTGATAGTAGTGATAGTAGTGATAGTAGTAGTAGTGATAGTAGTAGTAGTAGTAGTAGTAGTAGTAGTAGTAGTAGTAGTAGTAGTAGTAGTAGTAATAGAAGTAGTGATAGTGGTAGTGATAGTATTAGCGATAGTAGTAGTGATAGTAGTGGTGATGGTAGTAGTGATAGTAGTAGTAATAGAAGTAGTGATAGTAGTAGTAGTGATAGTAGTAGTAGTGATAGTGGTGATGATGGTAGTAGTGATAGTAGTAGTGATAGTAGTAGTGATAGTAGTAGTGATAGTGATAGTAGTAGTGATAGTAGTAGTGATAGTAGTAGTGATAGTAGCGATAGTAGTGATAGTAGTAATAGTGATAGTAGTGATAGTAGTGATAGTAGTAGTAATAACAGTAGTAGCAATAGCAGTAGTAGTAGTAGTAGTAGTAGTAGTAGTAGTAGTAGTAGTAGTAGTAGTAGTAGTAGTATACAGTAAATAGTATATAGTGAAAACATAGTGGTTGCGGTTGCGAAATCAGTAACAGTGAGGTGAGTCCTTCCCTTTCAGCTTCAACAACCTGCAAATACCTGGTACGTAACATGTTGTCGTGGGGGTGAGGCTTACACTGTCTTTGTTCTCAAGCAACCTTTGGGTGTTCGAGTTGTATGATCGTCAATTAGTGGCTAATGGCCTAGCCGTCTTGACGTAGTTATGACAACATTCTCGTGTGTTCGCACACCGTGATTCCATGTAGCATCACAACACAGCACACCACTCTACATGTATTCTACTTGATAACATCACACCGAATCCGTAAATCTTTTGCCTAAGCCAACTAACATTAGGTAGAAACTGCTGCCGTTATTTTTCCTTCTTTTCATCGTTGAGTTGGATTGTGAATTAATTGGGGCGTAGTTCTGGTGCTCAAGGGTATAGTGCCATCGGGCTCATGGACGGTTTGTTTTTGGTTTGAATTTCATTATTGTTCATTAGTGTCAATTGTTGTTGTCACATTCGCGTACTCCCGTCTCGGGTCACACCACACCACACCACACCACACCACACCGCACTACACCTCACCTTTCACAGAACCAAACCAAACTCGTGGGCATTGTTACTGTATTCAACTAAAGAATATATGCTTCTCTATTTAGGAACCGAATGGCACCACGTCGCAGAAATAAGAGACCACAGTGCACCGTGTGTTCAAGGTTTTTGACGAAGGATGGTCTATGCAATTCCTGTATTGCTCGCAATGTAAGCGGTTTGCCAAACTTGCATAACGCGGAATCTCAAGTGTATGATACAATTCATATTTTCAGCTTCGTAACGAGATCCACAAGAAGGAACAGGAGGATGCTCAATCTGCGGCTGCTCATCAGGTAAATTCTTATATCAGATCTACATCCTATGCTTTTTGTTTTCAGCAGTCGCAGGCGTCTATACCACCAGTAGCGCCACCTGCTCATCCACCACCCGATTTTCAGCCTACACCACCCGCGCTGATGCCAGTAGGTTTTTTTCGTATTGACGTCTTTCTTATTAGCTTCAGGTTCCTCCTTCTCCTTCTCCTTCTCCTTCCCCTCCCGCTCCCCTTCCGCCACCCCCTTCACCCCCACCTCCACCTCCACTCCCACCGCCGCCATCACCACCGGCATCCCCTCAGCCCCATTCCCCTGTCTTATCGTCAGGAGACAATCCTCATGCTCCAGAGCGAGATGTAAGTACTTCATACAACTACTCGGGTTATCGTGTTGTCAGTTACTCCCGCCTTCTGTTGCTCCACCACCTTACCCTCCAGTTGGATACGCCCCCGCGGCCCCCCCCGTTCCGCCACCACCAGCTCCAGTACAGCAGGCGGTGAGTGTGTTGATCTGGTTCATCGAATTTCATTGTTTTTTAGGTTCCTCCACCGCAGGCTTTCGATCCACCACTGGTGATTGATCGTCCTCTCCCTGTGCCACCACCACCTATGCCCCAACCTGTTCCTGTGCCACGTCCAGTACCAGTAGGTGCGATGGGAGAGAGTTCCGAGGGCACTGAATTAAGTCATGTAGATAGTGTTTCTGACCATAGTAACATTGATGGAATGTCGCTCGATAGTAATGACTTAGAAGAATGTTGTAGTTGCTGCTTGACTCTTGTAGAAACACATAGGGTAGATAGGCGCAATATACAGGGTAGAGTATACTCGGCGGTGCGCTTAAGGCATGATGATAGACCCGAAATTCCTCTCTGTTTGGCATGCTTCAAATACGTATGTAAAAATGATAATTTGGGCGAGCCGCAAGTCGCTGCTAGGAATAACGCGAATCAAGACGTTGATAGTGATTCGGAGAATGATGACGCGTCTAGTCACGCATCATCTGATGGCGAGGAGAGAGCCGTCGGAGGAAATCCAGCGCGCAGGAGATTCGTGAAATGGCAGTTCGGCTGGAGAGCGTTCTTGACGCATTTCATCCTGAAGGTTAATAGTCCGAATGAACTGCGGAAGAATTTGGCTTATATCCCGCAGACATTCTCCGATTTATGGGGACAGGAATTCTTGCAAAGGCTTCGTGAGAGAAATAGAGTGTCAGTTGCACAGTTTCATAACGCGAACGGGGAAGTACAACGGAAAATCATCGATATCTCCAGCGATTTTCAACGTTTCACTGATAGAGTCGGTAGTGGTCAGCTCGCGCAACTATCAGAAGAACTAGATAGGACAGCAGTACCTACTGTACGATGCCCATTCGGTTGCACTGAGTATATCGAGGATGTCGGTTCAGTATCCTACCACCATTTCTTGAGATGGGTATTCCCGAGCATTACAGCATTTACAGCTAACTCTGATCTCCATCTTAAGGGTGCTAGAGCCGACTTTACCAATCGCACTACACAGTTTGGAAAACCAATTAATGCCACTGTCCGAATCACTAGGGAGTCAGGGCTCGTCCTTTGTACTTGCAAAGATCACGATAGAGGCTCGTCAAAGGCTTATGTTCATCCTCCCCAGAACCCACATGGCACATTGCCTAGTCCACATAGTGATCAGCTGACCCCTATTATTTTCGCACCTAAGCCGTTCCGCGGAATGAAAGCCAAATATTCGTCTCATACTTGGCAGATGAGATCTGTCCAAGGAGGGTTCGGTGGATTATCCTCGTTCTCTGTTACAACGAAACCGAAATGGGATATTCGATCCGATCATCATGCTGAATTAGAGAAAATGTTCATGGAGGGTCGTCCTGAGTTACGCGCATTCGTAGATTCCGCTTATCGAAACGATCACGTGGCTGAACCAGCTTTGCATTCATTGGAACAAGTACCTGTTCCATCACGAGAACGACAAGATAGGGCATTAGCAGGAGCAACCTACATTACGTTACCCGACTCTGTTAATCTTTTACATAGTATGAAGCACAAGGTAGCAATACAAGTCGTGGAAGGCGAAGGTGAAGAACCTCAACCCCAACTTCAACCCCAACCCCAACCTCAACCTCAACCTCAACCCCAACCTCAACCCCAACCTCAACCCCAACCTCAACCCCAACCTCAACCCCAACCTCAACCTCAACCTCAACCTCAACCCCAACCTCAACCCCAACCTCAACCTCAACCTCAACAACCACAGGTTGATGGAGATGATGCAGGCGTTGAACATGCTGATGATCCTGAAAATGTAGTACGTCGGAATATTACATGGCCTTTTGCCTATGCGAGAGCTCAAAGGTGCGATGTACACGGGGATCCACCTCAGTCAATCAATCCCTTTTCTGGAAAATTCGTTCCCTTATCTTGGATATTTGTTCGACTCTTCACCTTCATACACGAATTGTGGCGTAATTTTGCTCTGACGATGCCTATCGTAGACAACGATGAAGATGAAACAGCTTTACTGCAAACCTGCAAATCTTTCCTGTCGGGCTTTCTTCCTGGATGCGCAGTTTACAGACGTTCAGATCATGCTGCTGCTCATCGGGGCAATCCGATCACTGTCCAAAATGTCATTCGAACCAGAGCACAAACCATAGACGGTCTCGTACCTGATCCGGCTGTGGATGCAGCCTGTGTCGATTCATCGATTGTTCTCTGTCGATTTTTCAAAACGTTACCTAATACTCATTCTTGTTATGTGAATTCACGGAGTGTTCAAATCAATGATCAGTTTATCCATCAAAAACTGCAAGAGCTTCCTGATGATGAGACGCGTGATCAGTGTACTGTGCTCTCCATTTGTACTACTGCACGTCGAACTACTATCGCGCGTGCTAGGCGTCCAGAGATTAAGATAAACGTGGATGATAGCACATGGGAGTTAGTATCATTCTTTCGAGTGGATGGTGATGCTCAAAGTCCTTGGGATAATCCTCAAGGAGGGCGAGCTGCGGATCGCAGATGGGAAGGAGAATGCTATCTCCGTAACCCAGGTGAACACTCATTGTGGTTCAAAACTAAGAGGGGCACTACTATTGAGTACTTGTCGGAGCCTGTGGAAGAGAGCTTGCGGGAAGCTTACGTATCTTGGCAGACTCTTACTTATGTGCGGACCTCAGGCGGATATCTTACGCGCATGAAAATGCAATATCTGCAGTTTACTGGCGGTCAAGGCACTATGATATGCCATAGGCACGAACTGCCATTCGTCGTAACTCCTCCAGTAGATGGAAATGGACCTAGACTGGTATGTTGTTTCCAGGAAAATGGTCAATTTACTTGTAATAGAGTTGCAAAGTGGTCATGCTCGTCAGAAGGCTGTACGGCTTCATTGTGTCGCTTGCATAGTAAACAAGTATTAGCTAATACCGCAGAGGGGCCTCTACTGATTCGTATTAATCCGCGTGAACAAGCAAACGCTCCGCAAAATGCTATTTTTCAACAGCCACAGCTTCCTGAAGATGATGACATTAACAACGATCCGTTAGATCGTCTGATTGCAGAGCAGCGAGCCGAAGAGGGTTCTGAAGGATCCATATCTGATGGTGGCGAGGTAGATCTTCTCATAGATGGTGCCTTGGAGCTTGACGAACCTATTGCACCAGAAGATTTGCCTGAGCAGCCGGAGAATATGAATATACCTGGAACCAATGCTGCTGACGTCCCTGTGATGGTAGACGGTAGTGCTGGTGTTCCTGGTCATATATTACTAAACAAGCATTATGGTCTCCTCAATCGCCCTGGTTCAACGAACTACATATCCGCGAGATCAGGGGCATTTTTCCAACGTTTAACTTCTAGATTTGCTGGTGCATCCATACCTTTGCTATATCCTGAAGGCTTGCTCTTCCCTAGTATATTCTGGAAATCTCTATCGGACGGAACTGTTATCGGCGCTCTTCCTCACTGCCTTTGGACTGCTCCAGCAGCTTGCAAGAAAGCCGGCTTTGCGACTCTTTCTGAACATATAAAAACTCGTCTCACTGATCCAACACTTCTAACATCCACAGATCCCAGAGCAATCCAATTCTATTTCGATGCGCTTTTCAACCTCCAATTATCACACAGTGATACACGGGTGGTGATGTCGCGAGGTTGGGAGCATCTTTCAAATGATCCTTCTACATACCAGACGCTTAAAGTTGAAGGGAGATTGCCATTCAGCGAGGCTGATTCTCGCAAGCGGGTCAATGAATTGTCAGCAGAGATAGCACGTGAGCAACCAACATATTTCTATACTCATAGTTGCAATCAGTCAGAACATTTTGGCGTTCGGCCGATTTTCCAGTGGATTCAGGAGCATTATGCTAACGAGTCTGAGGAAACACGAAATAGCGCAGTACAAGCTGCATTAGTTCCGATCACGAGAGCTTGGCAGCGAGCTGGCACTTATTTGATGAAGTATATCGAAACGTCGCCCGAGCAACCCTTGGGTCCTGTGAAGAAGCTATGGTGGCGATGGGAGTTCCAAACGTCTAGAGGCAATCTCCCTCACATTCATGCACTGGTATGGACTGGTGAGGATCCCAAATCTCCGGAAGTCCAAAGTAGAGTCTCATCCAAACTAAGTCACTGCTTCAGTGATCTTCAACCGATGATAGACGCCGGATTGGTGAGGGACGCAGCTCATGCTTTCGAGCTGAAAGAGCTAGCTGCCAAGATTCATGAACATGATTGCGAGAAGGCTGGATATAGATGCTGCAAGAAGCGAGATAGAGATGGCAAACGCATTTGTAGGTTTCCTAGACGTCCTGCTTCCTCCGAATATTCGACTAAGACAATCCATGTTCAACACTCCGAGGAAGCGTTACACATCTTGCACGAATGTGGCTTAGCCGACCTTCGTCAAGGTCCGAGTGGGTATGACGAGCTTCTCACAGGTCCTGAGCTTACTCCTGAAAAACACATGTATCCAGCGGATCCTCACAAACGATTCTCCCCGATGAACGATTGGATATTTGCCGCTGCCAGAAGTAGTGATAACTTGCAGATATGTAGTCCAGCTTTCACTGCCCATTACCTGGCTAAATATGCTGCTGGAGAAGAGGAACGTGCGAGAGTTTTCCTAAGAGCTGGGAAGGATGCAAACACTATGAATGTCCAACAGGACGATTTGCGTAATGTCAAGGTTACTGGCGCAGCTGTGGCCGCTGCAAATGATAAATCCCGCGAGCGTGAAAGTACAGCTGTTGAGGGAAGAACCTTGTCACTAACCGAGGCAGTGTGGTGGTTGCTACGTTTTCCATATGTCTCGTTGTGTTCCCATTACGTGCATGTGAACACGGGATTCAAGCAAGATAGAGGTGGCGTCATCAAACATGAGCGTCAGCGTGTAAGGCCAGGAGCGGAGGCCGAGGAAGTACCTGGCTTCACAGCCAGACAATTGTTACACTTCCCTCCACAAAGACAATTCACTGATCCACAACGTTTGACTATCGTAGACTGTAACACAAGTAGCATTACTCCGGACGCGGTATCCAAATTTAGTGCTCGGCCTCCAGAGTTGATGTTCCTAGACACCTTAATTGATTATTTTGAATGCACTATTCGCTTATCTATCCCTAAAGCCAGATATCGGAACGCAGGAGAAGAGCTCAACGTCCAGCAAGCTCTTCTTCGTCTCGATATCTCAGAGTGTCCGTGGATAGACGGTTTTGATAAAGAAATCAAGATTCTACCTGGCAAAATAGAACGTGTGAGAGATTTAGCAGTAGCATACCGTGATGATGCTGATCATCACTCGCTTGCTGAGCGCCAGTTGGCTGCTTCGATTTTGCAACATATCTTGGAACCTCTGCTTGGACCGAATCCTCCCCAGGATCTCCTAGACCTTTATGTTTATCAAGGAAACGCCCTACCACGCATTGCTGTCCTTTCAAACCCTTTACCGAGATACGCTGATCGATTTTTAATCCACATCATCCTCTCGCTTGGCCATTTTGCCACTGAGGTAGATGTGTTCTCGGTGAATCATCTGCGACAATCCTTCCAGACTGTAGGCCTGGTTCGTGACTCTGCGAACGTTACCGCGAACGAGGTTACTAATATCCTTAGGAAATATATTTTAACACAATTATTATATTTACCAGGAGGGACTGTGTCGTTTGATAAGCACTTGATACATGCTCACCATGCTTTGCATAGCTTACTGATCGGAGGTGATTTGCAATTTCAAGCCACACCTTTAGTGCTTCGTCATGAGTTGACTGAAGCAGCCAGTGAAGCGCTTTTGGAACGAACACGTGAGAGTAAACGATCCGTTGCGGAAGCATTGCACTTCCTTTCTAACCCGATCCGCAATCTTCCGCCTATAGATGACCTTGTGAGCGCCACACAAGCGAATCCGCTGGATTGGCGACCCGAGATTCAGCGTGGCGCGACCCAGACTCTCGAGTCTTTCCAAGAACAGCAATTAGCGTTGAACCTCGGCATTGAAGCTATAGATCACTTTTGCTCCGGTCAGCGAGCGTTTGTTCCGGCTCCAACACTTTTGGGTCCTCCTGGTAGCGGTAAATCGCATGTGACGGCTCACTGGGTAGCTTACGCGTTAGCCAAAGGTTTGAACACGATCGTTACCAGCTCTGCGAGCGAGAGAGCAGCTGCATTAGGTGGCGAACATATCCATTTAGTTTTTTCAATCCCAGTCTCCTCCACGCTCTCATCCCGCTTGCTTGCAGAGAGGGCGTTGACTAGGCTAGCTAGAGACCCTGTGAAGATGAAATGGCTGAAGTCGATTCGTGTATTTGTACATGAAGAGATCGGCACAGAAGGAGCCGAAATTCTAGACGTCCAGAGCAAAATCTTACAATTCTTGCATAACTCCCCGCTTCCATTCGGTGGGGTTATGATTCTGGGTAGTGGTGATCCTAACCAGCTGCCGCCTATTAAGCAAACGTTGCTCTGGACTAGTCCATCAATCATTTCGACCATGAGATTATTCATGTTGAAGAAATTTGTACGATCAGCGACCGATCTGGATCTTCAGGAGGTTTTGACTTTATTCCAGAAGCTCCAACCTACGGAAGCTGATATCAATAGGATTCAGCATTTGATTATGCAGCACTGCCAATTCCGCCCGAATTGGGATAATATTCCTTCTGAGGCTCTTCAAATCTTCGGTCATCGCGAGGCAGAGCAAGAGGCCGTCAAGAGGCAGTTAGAGCGTGTACAACAAGATAATCGCGTTGATAGGATCGTCATTAACTCTGTCGATCAGTATACTTTGGACGGAGGACACTTATGGGTTCCAGTTACTCAGGCAAGAATCGTGAAAAAGATGAATCACAAACTACAAGCACCGGAGAGTATAACACTCTTTGTTGGTGCCATCATGCGATTCACATGTAATGATAATTCTGGTAGAAGGGCGTTTCATCAGAGTCAGCTCTGCGTTGTTCGAAGTATGCCAGTTGATGAGGGTGCATTCACAGTACGAATAGCCCCACCAGGTAGAAGAAACATACCTCGAAACGAGCAAGAATTCGTCGACGAAGGTTGGCACGAACTGACCATCTCCAAAACTTTTACTATTCCTCAGCGCTTAGAAGGCGCCATGATGGTCAGGCGAGAACAATATCCTATTAGGCATTATATTGCTGCCACAATACACAAAGTCATGGGTGATACCTTAGGTATGGTAGCCACCCAGATATCGGACAAAAAGTCCGCATACAAACTGTGGCTGAAATCTCAATTGTATGTGATAATTTCGCGTGTACGCGAAATGCGCCATATATATTTCGTCGGTGCTGTTAACGACACCATGATGGCAATTAGAAATTTGCTCAGACAGTATACCCAGTGGGAAGGATATGTTCGCCATGTAGTAGGTATCTTGACCTCTGGTGATGTACCAGTGTTACCACCAATCATAAACTTCAATATGCGTCCATTCCGATCAAGAGACACACCCATTCCCCCTGATCAGGCAGGTTATGTTTATATCATAGTTTCCACGCGCAACACTAATATATCGTATATAGGACAAACTATTAATTTGAGGCATAGATTGAACCAGCATAACAGCGGTTCTCCTGCCGGGGGAGCAAGATTTACATCAAGAGCCCATTTCCAGCCTTGGGGATTATTAGGTTATATTGTAGGATTTGACTATTTCCTTGATGAGGGACAGAACCGAAATAATCGGGAACATGTCGAGCATACCTGGGATCATGTATCGAGGAACCGTCATAATGGGAATCCGACGCCCTTGCAAATTTTAGACACCTGGCTGTATGTTTTCGATAATGTTTTACGTCAACAGTTCCCCAATCTTGTACTTGTTCAATGTGCAGATATTTAGCAGCTTTCGTATATTGTTCAGTCATTTTGTTCAGCTTCTGTTCACTTGTCTAGTATAGTCAATTCACTGTTCAGTTCCTAACTTTAGTCAATGCAGCACACGGCTCGCCCAATTCTGAAAATTTTAGTACACGTACATTAAATGAAGCATGTCGTGAGAGGTGCGGCTCTATCGCCTCGCTCGTTATCCCTTTGCTGGAGAGGAGCGGGGAGGACCCTCGAAGTCGTCTCGTGCTCGTGAGGTTCCTGCCCCGGAGGGTTACTCACAATGAGCAATAAGTTCGCTTGCGACTTCGTAGGGTGCCACCTGTCGAGTATACTCAACAACCCTTCGGGGTCTATTCATCTCACTTCGGGATGAATAGGGCACTTCTTGCGCCTATTTCGTCTCTGGACTAGTCTCTATACTTCGCGTCGCATGTGGGGTAGTCATGAGATATTCTGTGCTATTAGGTTGTGTGTCATTGTTACTCATGGTTTGCGCAGTTTCAGGTTTCCTTAATGCCACTGTCATCACTATTACGACTACCACGACCGGTACGATCATCGCGACTACCATGACAACTACTACTGCCACCATAATACTACCATCGTGACTACTACGACTATCACGTCGAGGCTGCGACCATCGCAACGGCTACGACTACCATGACTATATCGGCTACTGCGACTACTACGACTATTACGCTGATGATACTGATGACACGACTATTGCCGCTCATCGACCACTAGGCTTACCAGAACTGTTGCCTACGATACTCGAAACTACTATGTTCGCCACGAGTACCGCGACTACCCCGATTTCCACGACTTCTACGACTACCACGATTACCTCGATTACTATGATTGGCACGACCTCTACAACTACTACTACGAGAAGGATGATTATGAATCATAAACATAATTTATGATGGTCGGACTAGAGCAACTCGAGCAAACTGATACTCGAGAGGTCGTCGGTTCGATCCTTCGTGATTTTTCTCGTTTGTTGTTAGGCATTCGAAACGGCCTCCTAAGAATGTATTTGGGGTATTCTCGAGGTAGTCCACCTCAGGTGGAAGAGGTACTGATTGTGTGCTGGTTGGTCAAAGGAGGAGCTTTGGAAGAATTATCCGATTAGGTTGATGACGTGTGTGTTAGCAGTACGCCACCGAGTAAAAGCCCATCGGAAGTACCATAAACCGAGAAAATGGTGAGAAATGTTTTGTTTTTGTTGTTATTATCATTATTGACGACTGATTCAGCATTTCGAATAGCGTGCAACAGAAGAAGATTGCCATAACTAAAAGGGGACGCGAGGCGAGTGGACGAGCAATATTGAGGCAGAATAGAAGTAGGACGTTGAAGCCGTTATGTGATTTGAGCAAGGGTATTACTGTTAGACTACTACCACTAGACCGCTAGATCACGTTGCGTCATAGTACAACACACTACCACTACTACTTTGAGTTAGGGTACTACTGTTCACCACGACTACTGCGACACTACGACTACCATGCCTACCACGACTTCTACGACTAGCACGATCATCATGATGACTACGACTCAGTCATACTGACTGGCGCGACCGCTACAACCACTACTACAACAAGCATGATTATGATGGTCGGACCAGAGCAACTACCACCACAATTACGATTACTTGGGCTTCCCCGATTACCACCACGACAGCGACTATTTCGAGTAGCACGAGGGCATTTCGACTACCATTACGACTGGTGACTATTAAAATTATCACAACCAAAACGACGGCTGGACCATCAAAGTTGCTATCAGACCATCATTCTTACTACTATGAATCATACTAGTCTCTGACTATATCGTACTAACGTGATACTTTTTTATATTTTCCATCTATGTTTTAAAAAGAAAATAAAAAAGAAATTGAAAAGAAATTGAAAAGAAAAAAAAAGAAAAAAAGAAAGAAAAAAAAGAAAAAGAAATGAAAAGATTAGTGAAGAAAAGGAAAATGAATCATTTTTTGTACTATTGTGTATTTTTATTCAATTTTGGTATAAGTCACTAATAGTGACTCACTATGATCAGTAATGATATTGATTCGTCACCATCACACCAACAATAGTCTGATGACAACGACGATGTTTGCGACACTGTGCGTGAAGCAGCTATGTACGTGCGTGCAAAACGAACCACGTCACCCTTCTGCTTGAAGCGACTATTTCACCAATACACTACTTCCAATTGTGATGACGACGACTACGACTCCTGCGAGTTCTATCACGCATCCATCGTTAACCACTGTGCTCACGACGACCACCACCACTACGGCTTCTTCACCATTACACTTATCACGATTCTGCTGACGACGACCACAACTCCAGCGAGTTCTACTACACCTTCATGATTAACCACTGTGCTCACGACGACCACCACTACTACCACTATTTCACCACTACACTACTCTCAATTGAGATGACGACGACCACGACTCCAGCGAGTTCTATTACACCATCATCATTAACCACAGTGCTCACGACGACCACCTCTACTACGACTATTTCACCATTACACTTATCACGATTCTGCTGACGACGACCACAACTCCAGCGAGTTCTACTACACCTTCATCATTAACCACTGTGCTCACGACGACGACCACCACTACTACCACTATTTCACCAATACACTACTCTCAATCGAGATGACGACGACCACGACTTTAGCGAGTTCTATTACACCTTCATCATTAACCACAGTGCTCACGACGACCACCTCTACTACGACTATTTCACCATTACACTTATCACGATTCTGCTGACGACGACCACAACTCCAGCGAGTTCTACTACACCTTCACCATTAACCACTGTGCTCACGACGACGACCACTACTACTACCACTATTTCACCAATACACTACTCTCAATCGAGATGACGACGACCACGACTCCAGCGAGTTCTATTACACCTTCATCATTAACCACTGTGCTCACGACGACCACCACTACTGCGACAATTTCACGATACACTACTTTCCATCATTAACCACTGTGCTCACGACGACGACCACCACCATGACGACTATTTCATCAATACATCAACCACAACACTGATGACAACGTGTCTTTCCACTCCGACATCGTCAAGAACTGCCATGTCGACGTCAAGGACTACCACGACTATCATCACCGTTACAACCACGACCACGACCACGATTACAGCTACATCCTACATCCTTACTTGAATGTGGTTATTTTCGACGGCTGTGACTACCAAATCTCCTATGACCAGCACGACGATTGCGACTCGCACGTTTTTTGGATTCGTTTTACTCTTGCGACCACTGTAACTCGTGCGATTGTTGCCTGTGGACTCCACAGTGTGGAGAGGTGATCATTGGGCTGCTCAATTTCGGGCGAATGGTCGGTTCGATGAGCGACAGTTAGAAGGTTCGAGTTCGGAGACTGTGACCACTGTGACTAACACGACTATCGATGTGGCTAGCACAACTACTATTGAGACCAGCACAATTACTGTTGTGGCTAGCACAACTGCTAGCAGCAGTTTGCTACTGTGTCCGGATACTGTGGCAAGCAGTATTACTGTGACTGGCATTATTACTATCACTAGCACTGTCACTACTGTGACTAGCACGATTAGTATTGAGTCGGGGCATTGTGACTAGCACACCTATTATTGTTAGTAACATTACTACTGTGACTATCTCTATCACGGTTGTGACTAACACGACTACTACCGTCACTAATCCGACTACCATTGTGACTAGCATGATTACTATTGGCACTAACAAGCGTACTGCTGTGACTGGCACGACTTCTTCGGTGACTAGCACGACGACTACTGTGACCAACACGGCTATCACTGTCGCTTTCACTACTATTGTGATTGGCACTGCGTCCGTGTGACTAGTGCGACTGTTATTTTTATCAATGATGGCATAGATTGAGTGTTCCTACAACACAGATTAAGTTATTGACCCCAATCATCCGGAGGGCGACGGGGCCCCCGCGTAGCGGGGTGTTGCCCGCCGGCCCATCACTCACACTTGCAACTTGTAAAATTTTAGACTTCGTTTCCATTGCCATATTGTTATTTGTTCGATAGTTGATCTTAAATGACCCTGTATTCGTGGGATAGCGGTCAGTGAAAAGGGATTGTATAGAGTGAGTTCGAATCAGGACCGCGTGCCTTGCAAGGAAATTCCTCAGGTGGCAGGACAGTTTGTGACACCTTGTGATGCTCGAAATCTTTGCGGTGCGGTGAAGTGCATGCGTGCAGATGCTGCACGCATGCACTTACTGCCCGCTGCGGCTGTCACGTAACTTTTCGAATGGGGTGCTTTTCCGAGATTCACCGAGTTCTTGCTTACCCTGGATGAGTGTGTAGTCTTTCTTGCATCATGGAATCCTTCAATGACCACTGGTTTCATCGTCATCACTTGGCGAGATTATAGATGAAGAGCCACCATACAGCTCAGCTTGATTATGTTGATTAACAGTTGATCTGAGTATGTCAACAGTTGCAACAAACGTGTTGGGTTTCTTCTCAATTAAATTTCGCAAGTTGAGTTTCTGCTCTAGAATTTAGCGTTCTCGAACTTCCTCTCGCTACGTGTTAGTTATAGTTGAGAATACTTGTGAATGTTAAGCAATCTCTCGTGGATGTTAATCGTAATCGAGAGCATTCGCGAATTTCACGCATCCTCTATTGTCTAATTGTCACCGCCTTATTGTCAAAATGTCACCTTCTAATGTCTTAACTAATCTGAATGTCATGCTCGTTGCGTCTATGACAGTTTTTTTCTCCTTACCATAAATGGTATGTACGAATCTCCTCCATGTCATCTTTCTCTTTCCTTGTGCTAGTCCGTTAGTCTTTTAGATGGTGGACCACCGATTCCCCAGAGATTTGCTTCGTGCTGGCGACTCGCCAGTTACGAGCCTACTTCTTGCAGCTTGACTGAGTAGATGCTGATCCATTATAAGCAATAATCTCACAATTAATCCGTGGTTCATGAAATATGTCTTGAGTTGCTATTAAATTCATAGTGTCGTATTGACTTTGGCCTCATTCAGCTTCATCTCGACTTGAAATTTCTCATTTGTCGTTATCCCTCAGCAATTCTGATGACTCAGGGGGAATATTAATAAATTCGATCACGTGTGCAAAGTAATTGAATTCCAAGAAATCAGTAATCGTTATAGATGTTGTAGATTCCACTTCATTTGGATTGATTGAGTAGCAATTGTGCGTGAAGTTTTTTAAATATCAGTTTCACGTCTGCATTGTAAAACGTGCCAGTTCCTTGAATTATTGGGAACAACGTCTTGTAGGTTGCATTGGTAGGTTGGTCTTATTGTATATATAGTTTCAAGTTAGAAGTCGATATTCGCACGATTTCTACTCGTAAATTTTCTTGCTTTGCCTGTCGATACTCCGGGTTTGCTACTTCTCGTTGTTATGGATTGTCTCTTGTTGCACGCGTGACGATAGTGACCGTCTCATTTTCAGCCGTTTTCGTTTCGCCTTTGGCAAAATCCTCACCACTCTCTTAACAACCATCATTTATCTCATCGGAGGCATAACTACTACTACTACTACGCCGCACCAGTTATCACCACCGTTACTACTACTACTACTTCCACTTCTTGTATTACTACCACTACTACCAGTCCTCAACCCGACTACCACCACCAAGTAAGTCCGGGTTGTTGAAATGGAATAGTTTTTTATCTAGTCGGCTCCGAAAAATTTGACGAATTGAGAGAAAATTCAGTTTTATTTTGCATATAATTTATCACTATATTTCACTTGCAATATCAGCTGAGACAACTACCAGCTTATGATACTTGAACCAGTTATCGTCAGCTGATAATTGTATCAAGTAATTTGATAAATGAAAGCCACCCTTATGATGCATCAGTGGTGCATCGGAGGGATATGCGTGTAGCACCTGCTACTGCCCGCAAGATGCTACTTTTTAATTTCAAAAAAATCGAGTATTGTGATGTCGTACCGCAATCGCCTGAATCGTGCTCGCCTTGAATGCGAGCACGTTTTCACATGTCGGATATAGTCATTATCAATGACTATGCTGATGGCTCGTATGCATCAGCAATATGTACAACATTCCACATATCTCAGGCAAATGGCACTACTACACAGTGATCCACTCCTGGCCATCGAGCAAGCGATGGCCATGCCCAACATCGACATCTTCGATGTTCCCGAAGAGGGTATGGGCCGGAAGTGCAAACGGAGGAAGATGTTAGTGTACTTCCTACACATGAAGAGCTATGGTGGTAGCAAGGTTCGTGTCACTAGGCCGACTAGTCGCTTCAATGACAACAAACGGTATGGTGTAGAGTATAGTTATGATCGGTTTGTGTTGCTGGCGTGTGCTGCCACCGGCAATGTTTTTTGTTGTATTACTCGTAGTAGTGCCGATACCACCTTGTTGTTGAAAAACCCCTTTAGTTACGGAGATCTCCTCGGGTTCATTCAACCCGAAGGAGGTGGGTTTATATCGGTCGATAGGACCCGTATCCTCTGTAGTCGAGATCCTCTTGTACCCCTAACCCTTCCCCTACAACCAGCACGGCCCCTTTCTACTGAATCTACTACTACCTACGGTTTCGCCATCTATCACTCCGTTTCGATCTTCATCTTACGTAGTGGTGTGTCTGGCAATAGGTGTGGTGGTGTCCATTGTGATGCTCGTCAACCTGGTGAGAAGGCCTGCGGTTGCACTGGTACGCCGCGTCGTAATCACTGGGCATCGACGTTGTTGTTGGAGGCCGAGGTGGAGGATGGGAGTCCCTTGGATGGTATCCAATTCGAAATCACATCAACGCGCTTATCCTTGCTATTTGCTACACAAAGGGCGAGAATGGTGGGCTTGATTGATCTTATCTTGACTATGTTCATTCTTTTCAGATGCCTGTTGCTGATATCGACCCCATCAACTACGCCGACATCACTGAGCAGCTGGTTGATTTTATCAACCGATCGGGAGGTTGGACCCTTACCATCTGGAAGAAGTCTTCTGCCTCTGAGGACTCTGCCCCCCGCCCCCCCAAGTATCACCTCGTCAAACTCATACCAACAGGCCTGACCGACCAGCAGCAACAGGATTGTGATCGCATGAAGTAGAAATCTAGTTCTGTATTTCGAGGCTAACTGTGAGGTTGTTTGTAGTACTTATTCTTTATAGGTATAACGGCGAGCAGCGGCGACAGAATCAGGGAGGTGCTGCTCAGCAGGGGCACAATGACAGACAAGTAAGTTCATGATCTATTGATGCGTGTTACTTAACTTTTCAGGATAATGCACCACCACCACCACCACCTCCAGCACTACAACAACAACAGCAACGTGGACGACAACAACAAGATGGACAACAACAACATGGACAACAACAACATGGACAACAACAACATGGACAACAACAACATGGACGACAACAACAACAACAACAGCAACAACCCCCAAACCAGCTACCACAAGAAGAAGAACTGCAGCAGCGATTGAGGCGGCAGCTACAACAACAACAGGAGGATCAACAATCACAGCAATCGGTAGGCCTGTCGGTTAATAACTCGATACAATGAATGTATGGAGATAGTAATGCTCATTTTGTAGGTACACAATAATGGTGATGGTGATGGCAATAACGTGAGTGATCTCGAAGGTGAGGAATATCGTAACGCATTGCACGAACTCGAATTCTTCTCTCTCAGATTGAGGTTGCCCACGGCGAGTTTTTATCAAGTTGATCGTCTCGTCAGCTTTTGTACTAATCTAATACGTGTGCTGCATTGCGTTCAGTAGATAGAACACAACCTTGTGTCATTAGGAATAAAACTAACACTCAATATTATAGGAATCATCCGCATCATTGAGAGACGTCAGTATCGCATTGTGAGGCGTTTGTCACAGCGGCTAGCAATACTAACGTTATCATTACTAGAACGACCTCGGCGTTACGATACCATTTTTATTATTACCACTAACCCTAATACTATTACTACTACTATTACTACTACTATTACTACTGCTATCACTCCTACGATTACTACTACGATATTATCATACTACTACACTAAATAGCTAATGCTATTACTACTACTATTATTACTACTAATACTACGCTACTATCATTATTACTGCTGCTACTAATATCGCGACTACTTTTCCTACTGTAATCCTCTCTCCTGTTACTATCACTATCACTACTACTACTGCTGCTGTGATTACTACTACGAACATCTCGACTACTGCTGCTACTATCACTACCTCTCCTAGTGTTATCACCACTATCACCATTACTACCGCTACTATCATTACTAGTGCTACTACTTATATGATTTGCCCCTACTGTCACTATCTGTCCTGTTACTATAATTACTATCACTTTTATTGCTTCTACCACTACTACCATCACTTCCTCTATCACTATTACTATTCTTACTGCTATCACTCTATCATTACTACCACTTACCGCTACGGAGTGAACTATCTATCGAGATGGACGCATGAACAAGTCGAAGTCGAAACCCGAATGCCATTGCTCCTATCACTGCTGTTCTACTGTCATTCCTATTATTCTATCACTACTGTCATGTTACCATCATCACTGCTACCATGACAACGGTTCCCATCACTACGACTACTATCATTAGGACTACCATCACTACGTTGCCTACCGCTACCAACACCTACGGCTACAATACTATCAAATATCAATACTACATACCAACAAAACCAACGCATCCCCCTATCAGTCTATGTTACGATCATTCCTTCAACACCAGAGGCTGCTTTAACACCATCACTCCTTTAACTCCATCACTCTTTTATTATTATCACTACTATTAACATCAGAGGTATACCTTCACTACTTTTATAATTATATGGTCATGCCCGTCATGCCATGATCAATTGATCATGTATCCTGTCATATTTCTGTCGGCAACATGTCACTATTGTACTGCGAAGTTTGTAGTGCAAACAGACCAGTACACAAGCGTGATGGTCATCCGGGTACTCCGTTGAGTAGTGTTGTTTGCAGTTGGTTTTGTGTAGTGCTTAGCATCATTATCCACGTCAATACATTGCAGTGGACTAATTTAACATTGCATAGCACAGTAGAACCTGACGACTTCCAATGAACAACAATCCATTTAGGTAGACGATAGTGTAGTGGTTAGTGCTCATGTTTCTCATTCTCGAGGTCTCGGGTTCGAATCTCATAAGGTCCGTGCGGGGCCCCACGCCAGTGGGGTGGACGGACCATCAGTGCCTACAGCCTTGCG